CTTCTTCTTCTTCTTCTTAAAGTTGACGACCATTAATCCCCAGCGATGCTTTCTCCTGGTTAAGGATGCAGCTCGAGAATAATTTGGTCTTCCGGTATTTGTGGATAAGCCAAACGACGAAACGAACTCATTCGCCCGTGACACTACAGACTGGTTAGCAGGGATGAAGCCTTTAGAGAGGAAAGTTGAGACAGAGGACCCACAGGGAATGCCGATCAAAGATTAAAGACTATGAAGTTGAAATCTGTATGCTATATACCCAACTACCAACATTAGTATCTCCCATAGTAATAGCTAAAAGGAGCCAACAGCTTGGAGGCACTTCTCGATACAAAAATCGAAGTGATGTATGGGGGGAGGAAACAATTTGAATAATGATAATAATAAAATCGTTCGAGTTTACGCAAACTTTACATACCAGACAAGACGGCGGTTTTGTGTAACCAGTTTCCCGCCCTAATCCATCGCCAAGTCACCTCTCCCAAGTCGTCGGGCTCGATGATGACCACATTGACATTCTTCTCCAGGACAAAGTCCAGTTCACGGACAAAGTCTTCCGGCGAGTTGCGATTTTCGTAGACCGCCCGAATCACCGCAAATGTCTTCTTACCACTGAGCATTTCCTGTGCAGGGGGGGAATGAAAGAGAGAAAAAGACACGCTGAAAAAAACTGGCGAGGCGAGAGTTAGAGGAAAACAAAAACCGGAGTACATCAGTGAGTCAACCGGGCAAAAAATGATTCAGTGAATAAAAAATAGGAAAAAAAAGATGTATTGTTTAGACAGAAAAAAAGGCTTAAATGGTGTCAATCGTATTAAAGAAATTCAGTGCATGGCGCCAAGATGTTTGGTTATCGGGCAACGCCCTCACCGGGGCAGTGCCAATAAGTGCATACACAACAAGGAGAGCAGGCTATTGGTGAATGGCGCTCTGACAAGATTTGGGTGCACCTAAAGACATACAGAGAGTGAGAGAGGGCTTAGCAATGATGTGCACTTCTAGCGAAACCGAGGTCACCAGGGCGTTGACAATGGCAGTTAGACTGTGTCAAGGGACAGGCGGATTTACAACAAGTGTGCGAACTGTTTGTAATAAAAGGAAGCGTTCACGGAAGCGTTCAAGTTGTAAACTCGGACCAGTGCTGACGAGACAGAGCACGTGAATCACGCACGTGATTTGGAAACCGAGGTGGGAATGGGGTGGACTGAGGAGCATCTATCGGTAGCTGCTGTCGTTAGTGTTTACATAACGCCAGTAACGGTAGAGAAGTGCGAACTCGTTGCAATAAACAAAGAAGTTTACGGAAGAATCTAACAAGTGTGAATGGGCTATGTGTTAGC